TACCTCTTTGAAATCTCCTCACACTCCTGCGGTTGTCCAGGTTGCTGGCAGATTAGCGGCCTTCCATAGGTGCCGCCAGGCCCCATATCGACCATGGGCCCCCGTACCTCCTGGTCACGCTGCTGCTGAGCCCACAGTGTGACCTGGGTCCCTGTACGGCCTCCCATTGCTTCCACTCTGCCATGTGCCACTTTGAAATCTCCTCACACTCCTGCGGTTGTCCATTTTGTCATAGGTTGCTGGCAGATTACAGGCCTTCCATAGGTGCCACCAAGCCCCATATCGGCCATGGGCCCCCGTACCGCCTGGTCACGCTGCTGCTGGGCCCACAGTGTGACCTGGGTCCCTGTACCGCCTCCCATTGCTCCCACTCTGCCATGTGCCACTTTCAGGTCTCCTCACGCTCCTGCTGGTTTCCATTTTGTCATAGGTTGCTGTATGGCCTCCCATTGCTGCTGCCTCCACCGCCACACTGTGGCTCCAAACACTGGTTTTGGCCCCGTGACTGGCCAAAGGAGTGAAGTGTGCAGTGATTCTAAGATCGACGGCACTCATCTGCATGTCATACTGACAGACAGTATTATTTCTCTTCCCCAGCAGACTCCAAGGGCATTTAAATTAAAGGTACAGTGTTCTGCACTAATATTAAGTCTCTCTGAAGCCTAGAAACACCCTTTTTTAAGTTAAATTCACAGCGAATTTATTCGACTCGAATCGAATATTGTCCACGAATTCGCCGAATCAGTCGAATCAAATTTTTCATTTCTTCGCTCATCTCTAATTAACAGATTTGTTTGGCAAGTACGATCATTCATAAATTGCGGATTACTACTAATGATACTGTTTTCATTTGCAAGTTCTTTGATATAGTCCCTTATAATCCCCTCCAATAGTTTACATACCATCTATGTTAAACTGACTGGCCTGTAGTTTCCACGAATATATATCTGCCCTTTTTAAAATATTTGTACTATGTTGGCTTTTCGCCAATCAGCTGCTACCATTCCTGTCAGTAAGCTGTCCAAAAAATTAGGAATCATGAACTGGCTATAGCCTGACTAAGTTCTTTGAGGTCTTTCAGTTGTTAACCATCTGGACCTGGGGATTTATTTGTGCTAAGCTTTTCAAGTCTTTTTTTTTTTTTTTTTTTTTTTTTTAAGACACCAGCTTCTGTTAGCCACAAGGATAGATTGTGTTTTCCTAATGATGAAAAAGTGTTTCTGTATCTCTTGTGGACCCAGAAGAGTTACAGAAACCCCTTCCCCTTGCCCTCCTGTATTGATTGTGTTTTTTCTCTACAATGGAACGTTTGTCGTTTTTGTGACCAGAAGACCGGGGAGGGTCAGATGGTACCCGTGTGAGGCAGAAATAGGGTGGCCGGAGAGTGCTGAACTAACTTTCAGGCTCGTTCCTTCTCACAGGTCACCCCCAGTTGGAATCAGCGATCCAGTCTCAGGGGAGTGTGACCGTCACTGTAGTGTGTTGAAACACCACCTAGCTGCAGTCTCACTTCCCCCAAATGGTTCTCCAGTGCTCAGTGGATTATGTGAAGCAGGAAGGAGGGCATGCACCCCAAGCCTCGTTCTGGCATCAGCAGGTTCTTTCGGCTGCATGACCGGAAGTTGGCGGGGCCAGGAACAAGGTGTAGTCCACAAAAGGGCTTAAGAGATGCTGGAGGTGTGAGGAGGACAGCAGGGCGGTTCACAGTGATCGGCTGACAGTCCAGGACAGTACACCTGGCTTCTGAAGTGGAGACCAGGCGAAACCACCTCATGGAGAAGGAGGAAGGGATGACTGCATCAGTGACTGAGGGCAAGTCCAAGTCAGGGCTCGGTGAGTGCCTTTCTTGAGGGGAAGAGCGGGCCAAGATGGCCCTAGGTAAGGCCCATGCTAGGATGCTCACCTTCCACCAATCCCTAAAGGATTTAATCCTACAAGAATGGAATGATCCTGAAAGGAGAATGGTCAGAACTAAGACTTGGAAAAGAAGGTTCCCCTTTTAAAGAGGAGGAAGATAGATTCTTTAAGCTTTCCACATAGTCCACCTAGCCAAAAGACCTGGTGGACCCCCTCTCCTTGTGGCTAGCTGAAGCCAACCACCAAGTACTAGGTCAGGGAGTTCTCCCGAAAGAGACCCCTCAGGAATAGGGGAGGAAGGAACCTAATGGTCACGCATCCTCCCCCTAGACTCCAGGGAAGGCCCGAGGACTCACAAGAGAAGGCCCCTGGAAAAAAAACACACAAAAGTCAAAGATGACAAAACGGTGGGAGAAAATAAATACATAAAAAATAAGTGGCCGTGCAATTGTGCACTGGCTAGGCCCTGAGGTCTGTAGCAAAAAAAAAATGCCTTTCTCTAAAAGGCACAGTGCAGAAAAAGTGTTTGGAACAGTGACCATGTGCACTTTTCTTACGGGTTCCCACTTCCATGTGTTACTAAGAGCACCCCTGAGGCGAACACTCTCTGGGCACTGCTCCGCAGACTCACTGCCTCCCTGGCCAGACAAGGAAGGCTCATTCAAATCAGGAGGAACTGGGCCCCTCCAGCTTTCCCAGGAATATTACTCCCTTGCCTCAACAGCCTGTGGGCGTTTCTCTTCGAGCCAGTACTAACTTTCAGAGCCCCCATCATACGAGTAGGGGTACTATACAGCCAGCCATCCTTGCCTTCAAGCAAGAATGATGGTGGAGAACCCCTACTAGACACTGATAAAAACAGATACTACACTTGATCTCAGCCAAAACGCCGAGAAGCAAAGGTAGGGAAGGCAGCAGCCTACCTGGCAGATGCTGTGGTCGAAGCTGTTAAAGCCTCAGCTAAAACAGCCGCACTCATTCGTTCAGCCAGAAGGGCTGTCTAGGTTAAAGCATGGGAAGGTGACTTGATTGCAAAAGGTAAACTATGTGCTCTCTCCACTTTTTGAAGACTCCCTACTGTTCAGCCAAGGGTTGGACAATGTGTTGTCCAGGTCCTCTGAGAAGGGGGGGAAGAAATTCCCAGTTAAACCTAAGAGGGAAAAATGTGTTTTTTTTTTTTATTTTTTTGCTTTTTTTTTTTTTCAGGAGGGTTTTTTGTGGCTCCTCAGGGCAGAACCAACAGATGGCCAAAAGGGAACCAAATAAGAAATTGGGCAATGGGAGGGGAAAGCAAAGGAGCAGTTTGCTGTTTTTCCTCCCCAGACACCAGCACTAAAGAAACCCAGTGACTCCAGGATTAGGATAGGGAGGCCAGAGAGGGCTGAACTAACCTTCAGGCTCATTCCTTCTTACAGGCTGCCTGCCACATTTTGCCTCCCAGTGGGAGAAAATCTCACAGTGCCTACATATGCCAACTACTACGAGAGAGGGCTATTGCCTGGAGTTCTCGTCAAGGCCGCCACAAATGATCACCCTAACCTGCCTTCCTCGGGACTCCTTGAAGAGGGAAGCTCTCTTGGAAGGAGTTCAGAAGTTGGCGCAACAATTGGTGGTTGTACCCTTACCCAAAAACCAACAATACCAGGGATTTTATTCGCACGTATTTTGTTTGCAAACCTTCAGGAAAATACCACCTAATTATAAACCTCAAAAACCTGAACAGATTCTTGGAGTACAAAAGATTTTCCATGGAGCGTATTCCTGAGAAAGGCCTTTATGACTAATCTGGACCTCAAGGATGCCTATTTGCATGGCCCACTTTATTTAAAACATCAGGCATACTTTAAGGTTTGCAATAGTAATCGGGGAAGAAACGATCCACTGGCCGTTCAGGGCTCTTCCTTTTGGACTAGTGGCCAGTCCCAAGGATTTTTACAAAAATCCATGCTGAAGCAGGGGCACTCCTGCACCTTCAGGGGATATCCCTGATTCCCTATTTAGACGATCTTCTAATCTTTGGTCTCTCTGCTGTCCAGGTGAAACCAGACATGGGAAGGATGATTACCACCCTGGAGTCTCTGGGCTGGATAGTGAGCATACAGCAAACCTCTCTAGAGCCGGAGCAGGTCGAACCTTTTAGGCTACGTGTTGGACACGAGTTCAGAAACTTTCTACCAAGGGACAAGATGCAGAAGATAGTACCTTCAGTGAGGGACCCAATAGCTCCCCAAGGGAGGTCTTGAGGGTGCTGGGTCTGATGTTGGCAGCCATCCCAGCATTAGTGTGGGCACAATTCCACTCAAGAGACCTGCAGTCCTTCCTTCTGCTGGGACATGGGAAAAAAAAATTCCCTGGACGAAAGGTTAGTCTTCCCTCCACAGTTAAAATCCTCACTAGAATGGTGGGTAACCCCTAGCAGTCTGCAAGAAGGCATTCCCAGGGCCCAGTGGTACCCCCTAAAAGTGGTCACAGATGCAAGCTCCTGGGGGTGGGGTGCTCACTTGGAGGATGCCAATTCCCAAGGTCCTTGGAACACGGTGATTTCCCAGTCTTCATCCAACTTCAAGAAGCTCAGAGCGGTAGGCAAAGCCTTGAAGGCTTTCAAGAACAGTATCTCGGGCAGGGAGATTCAGGTCAGCTCCGACAATGCGATCACTGTTGCCTACCTGAACCATCAGGGTGGAACCAGATCCAGACATCTGGAACTACCTAAGGAAATCCTGGGTTGGGCTGAAGGGAAGGTTCCTATAAAAGGGACAAGCAACCATGAGGCAGACTTCTTCAGTTGCCTGCCGATCAGACAGGGGGATTGGGAGCTAAACTCTAAGGTCTTTCAGGCCTTGGTCTGACGGTGCTTCACCCCAAGCTGGAGTTCTTCCAATTGACATCCTGGCTAGTGAATGCCAGATCCTAAAGAGTAAGGGTTGTTCTGACAGAGACACCCTCCTGTAAGAGCCTGTAACCAGGAAAATGTACTCAAAATTATGGAAAATCTTTTGTTCATGGTGCAAATGGCAACTTTTATCCTCCTATCTCTGTTCCTATAATCGTTGAGTTTCTCCAGGATGCTGTTGAGAGAGGAATGGCAGTTATCACCCTTTGAATACAAATTGCTGCACTTTCAGTTTTTCTGGACACTAGATTAGCTGGAGAACCTTTTTGTTAAATGGTTTTTGGTGGCCAGAGAGAATTACGCCAGCCACAAAAGAGAGGATTCCGCTGTGGGATCTGACCAGAGTGCTAGAAGCCTTATCAAAGCAACCAATAGAGGAGGTTCCCTTTTAAGTTTTTGACTTTTTAAAATCATCTTTTTTGTTGGTTATCACCACGGCTAAAAGAGGTGGAGACCTACAAAATTTGCCAGTCAAAGAACCCTTTTTCTTGATCCTGCCAGATTCCCCCAGGTCACCCTTAGGCCAGATCTGATGCACCTGCCCAAGATAGCTTCTTTATCTAATAGAAGGAAGGCAAAGTTATTTCCTGTATCCTGTGTTAATCCCAGGAACGCAAAAGAGAAATTCCACCGTTCTGATGTGTGGAGATGTCTCCTCGCTT